AAAAAAAAAAAAGAAACTCAGCACTCCCATTTTTTGTGAAATGTGTTTATTTCATTCTAAATGACCACCTTACAGAAAAAAATTGGAGAATAAAAGAAAGGATTAGTTGTCCACAATCCTTGCCTCCCAAGGCTTAGGACTTACCCCTACCCCCTCCCCCGCCCCCCCACAAATCCCTCACCCACCAAACATACCTTGATACACTGGTTTTTCTTGTGGTCTTTATTGCAAGTCTGTCTGTCTGTCTGTCTCTCTCTCTTTTTCTCTTTTTAATCTGAAGGGTTGCCACAAGTGTCTAAATCAGTTAGTTTCCACCTGACAGCTGGCCGGCTGCCTCCTTAAGATCTGCGCACCTGCCAGGGTGCTCCAGAGAGACAGAGCCTCTAGAACATCCACGTGTCTGTGTGTACAGATACAAAGATACAAGGAGATGTATTGCAAGGCATTGGCTCACATAGTTGTGGGGCTGGTGAGGCTGAAAGTCATCCATGGGGAAGGCAGGAATGGGCACTGTGGTCCATAGGCGACCTTCTTTCTCCTCAGGGAAACCTCAGTTTCCTTAAGGCCTTCAGCCGTTTGGGTGAGGCCCACTCAGACCATTGAGGGTCACTTTCTTAAAGTCAGCTGGTTGTGGATGCCACCACATCTACAGAATACCCCCATCCAGATTAGCATTCATGATGTCCCCGGGGGCTGTGGCCTGGCCAGGTGCACACGTGAACTGAACTGAACTGACATTATTGCGAAGACCAGTTAAAGTCAGCAAGACCTCTTGAAAGGCCCCAGACTCCTCGCTCCCCCAGTTCTTCCTCTGGAACTTCTGCATCTCTCTTTGGTCCCATCAGTCTTGTGGCAGCCTTCCCTTTATTGTCCCTGGGACATTTCCCCAGGGGCAGAGGTCAGTGTTGGGGGGGCAGGGCTCCCTTGGCTTGCTGCCAGACCAGCCCCATGGTGCCCTCTGGTGGCCAGTAGTCATGCTGTACCCTCTGTAGTCGGGAAGATGAGGAAGCAGATGCATGGAAAGGGCCACTAAAAGCCATGGCTTATCCTGTGAGCAGCATTTTCTGGTCAGCAGGACACCACACGGACGCTCACGGAAGCACCATGAGGTTCTCCTGGGCCATGCTTTGTGTCACCCAAATTTCTGTGCAAAGCCTGAGAGCCACATCCATTCGAGTCAGGGGTCCTGCCACCTTAGAGTCAGAATCATGCTTTGCCCACTTTCCTTCCTTCTGGATTTTCTCATGTGTAACAGAGTTTCTAGAAGCTTCTGAGGGTACAGAGGCCCTGTGCCGCAGCTTTGGGCAAGTCAGGCCACAGTTCTCCACTCTTCCCTTTGTGAGCCTGGGGAGGGCTGTGCCAGGTAGAGAGGAGGGGTGCTGTTCTTTCCCTGCTTGCTGTGAAGGGTCAGGCACTAGGTCTACCCTCCGTGTCTGGACGTCATCCTTCTCTTCCTGGGCAGTGATGGGATGCATCCTCTACTCCCTGCCAGGTGTGAGGGGCCTGGCCTGGTGCTGGACACACAGCAGACGCTTTCCTGGCCAGGCCGCATCTGCATAGTCACCATGCTGCCAGAGGAGGCAGGGTGCCTGGGCTCTCCCCTCCCACCTCTCCTGGTCGCTGAGCTGCTTGTGTATAGCTGAGGGTGGGGATGGGGCCAGTGAGGTAGGCTAGGTAGAGAGAGGAACAGGAGGCCAGAGGGGTAGGGCTGGGCAGGCCCATTCAGTGTTCGTGGTTCATGGGCTGAGTCCACGTTCCAGGCTCTGCATAGCGTGACAAGGACCGTCTTTTTCAGAGGCCCATGAAGCTGACAGACTGAAGGTCTGTAGGCTCTTGGCTCAGGGGCCTTTGCCAGTTCTTTTCACTGTCCCTCAGCCTCCTTGCCCAGGTGATGGGCTCTCTGCCTTGGGGGTTGTGTGTGTGGGGCGGGTAATAAGGACTTAAGAAAACCAGTGTCCTTGTAGCCCACAGCAAGCTCACTCAGCCCCTAGTTCATGTCCCCCTTGGTGTGCACAGCCAGCATAGGACCTCAGTGTTGAGCGCTGCCTGGGGGCGAGGTGGTGGGAGTCCGATCTGGCCTGGTCGCCTCCCTGCCTATGCTTGTAAGCACCATGGGAGCCAGGCCTGCCCGAGGAGATTGTGGTGTGTGGCCGGGCCCTGGCGTTGGCTAGTTCCTTGGGGTGACTAATGGCATTTGCCAGGTCTCTCACTTGTAGCGTGTTGGCCTCTAGGGTGTCATGCGCCAGAGCAAAGTGTTCATCTCTGTTTCATTGCCACGTACATGTTTGTGTTTGCATTCCCTGCCCTCTCCCAGACACTGAGCTGGCTGACCTGGGCCCCTCTGCTGTCTGGGGCTCACTTTTTTTTTTTTT